AATCAAAATTTCAATGTCATTCTTCAAAGAAATAGAAAAATTATTGATGAAATTCATATGGAATACAAAAAAACCCGAATAGCCAAAGCTCTCCTGAAAAAAAAAAAGAAGGGAATGGAGGCATCAGACTCCCAGACTTCAAACTATACTACAAAGCCATAATCATCAAAACTGCATGGTATTGGAACAAGAACAGACATACAGACCAATGGAATCGAATAGAAAATCCAGAAATAAACCCACAGATTTATGGTCAACTAATCTTTTGACAAGGAGCAAAGACTATGCATTGGAGCAAAGAAAGTTTGTTCAATAATGGTGCTGGGAAAACTGGGTCGCTACATGCAAAAGAATGAAGCTTGACCACCACCCCACACCATACAACAAAAAATCAACTCAAAATGGATTAAAGAACTAGACATTATAACCTGAAACCGAAACAATAAATATATAGAAGGAAATATAGGCGAAACACTACGTGATTTGCACATCAAAGACATCTTTACAGACACATCACCCAAAGCAGTGATAGTGAAGGCAAGATAAAACAAGCTGGGACTATATCAAATTAAAGAGGCTTTTGCACAGCAAACAGAGACATGAAAAACAAAACCAAAGAGAAACCCCCACCAACTGGAGAACATTTTTGCACCCAACACTAATGATAAAAGGACTGAATCACAAAAATCTGCAAAGAGCTGATGAGACTCAACAACAACAAAGAAAAAAATCCAGTCAAAAAATGGGCAGAAGAGCTTAAAAAGAAACTTCTCTGAAGAGGAGAGGAAATGCAAATGGCCAACAGGCATATGAAAAAATGTTCAACATCACTTGTCATCAGGGAAATGCAAATCAAAACTACCATGAGAATACCATCTTACACCAGTGAGAATGGCACATATTAAAAAAACTAGCAACAACAAATGTTGGCGAGGGTGTGGAGAAAAAGGAACTCTTCTGCACTGTTGGTGGGAGTGCAAACTGGTCCAACCTCTGTGGAAATCTGTGTGGAGATTTCTGGACCTACAAACATAGAGCTTCCATATGACCCAGCAATTCCACTCCTAGGTATTTACCCAAAGGACACAGAAACATCAATTCCAAAGAACACCTGCACCCCTATGTTTATAGCAGCACTGTTTACAATAGCTAAGCTTTGGAAACAACCCAAATGCCCAAAAATAGATGACTGGATCAAGAAGATGTGGTACATATATACCATGGAATATTACTCAGCATTCAAAAAAGATAAACACATGCAATTTGCTGCAACATGGATGGCGCTAGAAGGGATCATGCTCAGCGAAATAAGCCAAAAAGAAAAAGAAAAATACCGGATGGTCTCACTCATAGCAGGAATCTAGAAACTTAAATAATGGACCAGGAAAATGAAAAACTATAAGAAAGTGAAAATCAAAATCAACAAAAAACTATGAACCAGAGACACTTTTAGGGGGGCGGGGCGGGAGGGGATTGGGGTCAGAATGGGGGCGGCATTGTATGGGAATATACAATAAAATTATATAAAAAAAAAAAAAATAAAGAGAAGCACACCCAAAAAAAAAAAAAAAAAAAAAAGCACAAATAATCCCCTTTGCCCCCCACCAAGATACATCCAAGTGCCTACCCCTGTGCCTGTGAAAGTGACCTTGTTTGGAGGGAGGCTCTTTGCAGATGTGATTAAGGATCTCAAGATGAGCTCATCTGGATTGAGAGTGGACCTTAAATGCAAAATGCTGCGATGTGATCAACTTTTCTTCAACTTCCTGTATTTTAGTTTAATTTTTGATCCCTCCTTTAACCTGTAATCCTCTTCTCTTTTGTGTGGCTGTTTGAAATAACTTGTCCAACTACATGTCAGATCTCGACAATTTATTTTTGGCCAAAGACTTCTTCTGGTGCTCGCTGCAGACAACAAATGCACTTTGTTCTAAAAGAATATCAACCTCAGTTCTCCTGAAAGCTCAGCTCTCTCCAGAAGTCATGTTCTTAGCTCAGCGATGCAGGGGACACTGGCTAAGGCCCAGTTGGTACCTTACCCTGCTTCTGCTGATGCTGAAAAAGCAGCCTGCAAGGGTGCCCAGGGGAGCACTGATCTTGTCCTCTCTTATGCTGATGGCCATAAGCCTATTTGGTAGAGCAGCAGGGAATGATCAAAATGTTATAAACTGGGAGCTGATCTCAGGGCTCTGGGTGAAACTCCACTGACACAGAGGAGACAAAAAGCCTTTTATGTCTTTTTTTTTTTTATTTTTATTTTTTTTTAATAAATTTTATTGTTATATTCCCCATACAATTGCAGCCCCCCCATTCTGACCCAATCCCTCCCCTCCCACCCCCGCCCCCCTAAAAGTGTCTCTGGTTCATAGTTTTTTGTTGATTTTGATTTTCACTTTCTTATAGTTATTCATTTCCTGGTCCCTTATTTAAGTTTTCTAGATTCCTGCTATGAGTGAGACCATCCGGTATTTTTCTTTTTCTTTTTGGCTTATTTCGCTGAGCATGATCCCTTCCAGCGCCATCCATGTTGCTGCAAATTGCATGTGTTTATCTTTTTTGAATGCTGAGTATATTCCATGGTATATATGTACCACATCTTCTTGATCCAGTCATCTATTTTTGGGCATTTGGGTTGTTTCCAAAGCTTAGCTATTGTAAACAGTGCTGCTATAAACATAGGGGTGCAGGTGTTCTTTGGAATTGATGTTTCTGTGTCCTTTGGGTAAATACCTAGGAGTGGAATTGCTGGATCATATGGAAGTTCTATGTTTAGTAGGTCCAGAAATCTCCATACAGCTTTCCACAGTGGTTGGACCAGTTTGCACTCCCACCAACAGTGCAGAAGAGTTCCTTTTTCTCCACACCCTCGCCAACATTTGTTGTTGCTAGTTTTTTTAATATGTGCCATTCTCACTGGTGTAAGATGGTATCTCATGGTAGTTTTGATTTGCATTTCCCTGATGACAAGTGATGTTGAACATTTTTTCATATGCCTGTTGGCCATTTGCATTTCCTCTTCAGAGAAGTTTCTTTTAAGCTCTTCTGCCCATTTTTTGACTGGATTATTTTCTTTGTTGTTGTTGAGTCTCATCAGCTCTTTGCAGATTTTTGTGATCAGTCCTTTATCATTAGTGTTGGGTGCAAAAATGTTCTCCCAGTTGGTGGGGTTTCTCTTTGTTTTTGTTATTGTCTCTTTTGCTGTGCAAAAGCTCTTTAATTTGATGTAGTCCCAGCTGTTTATCTTTGCCTTCACTATCACTGCTTTGGGTGATGTGTCTGTAAAGATGTCTTTGATGTGCAAATCACGTAGTGTTTCGCCTATATTTCCTTCTATGTATTTTATGGTTTCAGGTCTTATGTCTAGTTCTTTAATCCATTTTGAGTTGATTTTTGTGTATGGTGTGAGGTGGTGGTCAAGCTTCATTCTTTTGCATGTAGCGACCCAGTTTTCCCAGCACCATTTATTGAACAAACTTTCTTTGCTCCAATGCATATTCTTTGCTCCTTTGTCAAAGATTAGTTGACCATAAATCTGTGGGTTTATTTCTGGATTTTCTATTCGATTCCATTGGTCTGTATGTCTGTTCTTGTTCCAATACCATGCAGTTTTGATGATTATGGCTTTGTAGTATAGTTTGAAGTCTGGGAGTCTGATGCCTCCATTCCCTTCTTTTTTTTTTTAGGAGAGCTTTGGCTATTCGGGGTTTTTGGTGATTCCATATGAATTTCATCAATAATTGTTCTATTTCTTTGAAGAATGACATTGAAATTTTGATTGGAATAGCATTGAATCTGTATATTGCTTTTGGTAGGATGGCCATTTTAATAATGTTTATTCTTCCAATCCATGAGCAGGGGATGTCTCTCCATTTCTTTGTGTCTTCTTCTATTTCTTTTAACAGTGTTTTATAGTTTTCTTTGTATAGGTCCTTTACCTCTTTTGTTAGATTTATTCCCAAATATTTGATTTTTTTTGTTTCAATAACAAAAGGGATGGTCTTTTTGATTTCTTCTTCTTCAGATTTATTGTTTGTGTATAGGAAGGCTACTGACTTTTGCATGTTGATTTTGTATCCTGCCACTTTACTGAACTGATTGATGAGTTGAATTAGCTTTTCTGTGGAGTTTTTGGGGTTCTCTATGTATAATATCATATCATCTGCAAATAGTGATAGTTTGACTTCTTCTTTTCCTATTTGGATTCCTTGGATGTCTTTCTCTTGTCTTATTGCCCTGGCTAGGACTTCCAGTATTATATTGAAAAGCAATGGTGAGAGTGGACATCCTTGTCTTGTTCCAGATCTTAATGGAATTGCTTTCAGCTTTTCACCATTGAGAATGATACTGGCTGTTGGCTTGTCATAGATGGCCTTTATGATGTTGAGGTATGTTCCTTGTATCCCAAGAACTTCAAGGGCTTTTATCATGAATGGGTGTTGCACTTTGTCGAAAGCTTTCTCAGCATCTATTGATATTATCATATGGTTTTTATATTTCTTTTTGTTGATGTGTTGGATAACGTTGATTGATTTTCGGATGTTAAACCATCCTTGTGCCCCTGGAATGAATCCAACTTGGTCATGGTGAATTATCTTATGGATACATTGTTGGATTCTGATAGCTAAAATTTTATTGAGGATTTTTGCATCAGTGTTCATTAGGGAGATTGGCCTGTAGTTTTCCTTTTTTGTGTTGTCCTTGTTCGGTTTTGGTATTAGTGTAATGTTGGCTTCATAAAACGTGTTTGGTATTGTCCCTTCTTTCTCAATTTTTTGGAAGAGTTTGTGAAGGATAGGCACTAATTCGTCTCTGAATGTTTGGTAGAATTCATTTGTAAATCCATCAGGTCCTGGGCTTTTGTTTTTGGGGAGGTTTTTGATTACCATTTCAATTTCGCTAATTGTAATTGGTCTGTTTAGGTGTTCTATTTCTTCTTTATCTAGCTTTGGGTGATTGTAGAGTTGTAGGAATTTGTCCATCTCCTCTAGATTGTTAAACTTGTTTCCATATAACTGTTCATAGTAGTTACTGATTATTCTTTTGTGCCTTTTATGTCTTGCCGTCAGCTGGCCTTTAGTCAAGGGTCTCAAACTCAGATGCCCATAGAGGCCAGACAGAAATGAGTGGTACAATAAGGAGTGGTGGGGACAGTGGCAAACAAACACAAAAACCCAAAGCACATGCCCTTTCTAAAGGGAACCCCTGGCACTGTAGCCCAGTGCTACTGTGAGGGAAATAACCCAGAGCTGGCAAATGGTTTGGTTTTTTCCAAATGGATTTACAATCTTTTCATACAAAGTAGGAAATCCAGAATTTATGTAGATCTCAACTTTTGAAACATTATTTGCAGGCCAAAAACAAATAAAAATTAGAACCCAGTTGAGGGCTACCTGCTAATCTATGATGCTTCTTTAAATAACATTGAATGGACCTTGAGTAGACCTCTCTCTAGAAATTGGTAAGAATGCTAGCTCTGTATATGTGTGTGTGTGTGTGTGTGCACGCGCGCACCTGCCTTCTAATGTGCAGGGATTACATAGACACTTTATATTATTCATTTCTCCAGGAAACAAAGAACCCAAATGTAGCAACAAAATACAGCCAGGTGAAACATCTGAGAAGAAATGTAGTTGGGAGGCTGGATGATACAGTCTAGACCAGCACTTCTCAAAATGTAGTGTGTGTCTGAGTTTCTTGGGAATCTCGTTAAGATACAGATTTTGATGCAGCCTGAGGTTCCACATCACAGCAAACTTCCTTCACATCATTTATTACCTGAAATGGCCTTGTTGGATTCATTATACAATATAAGAATATAATAACAGGCACAAGTCCTCAGAGTTCCCTTCAAAGAATTTAAACAAGTGAGTGCTCTATATGACCTTTACCTCATAAAGATCTAGAACATTCCATGATCTCAGAAAACTCTCTTGTGCTCCTTTCCAGTTAGTTCCTACTCTCCTCCCTGCCCCCACCTCCCCGCCCAGCAGCCACTGTTCTCCTTTTCCACCACAGATAAGTATTGCCTGTTCTTGCTCTTCACACACACAGCATCTCAGTCTGTGCTGCTTTGGGTTGGCCTCTGCAGTCAGCATCCCATCCGTGGAATGCATCTATGTTGTTGCCTGTACCAGTATTCTGTCCCTTCTTTACCCTAGGTCGTGGTTTAGTATATAACACCATTTATTTCTCCCTTCACCTATGGTTGCAGCCTGGGTGGTTTCCAGGGTTTGGCTTGTATGAATAGTGCTGCCTTAGCATCTGTGCACAAATCTGCATGTGGACATGTGTTTCCTTTCTCTAGGTCATGGGGTAGGTGTCTATTTAACTTGATGAGAAACTTCCAGACAGCTCTCAATGTGGTTGAACCACAGAGCCCTCCCATCAGGACAGTTCCAGTTGCTACCCTTCTTTTCCACATGCCAATCTTGAAATTTCATTCTACTGGCTGTGTGGTGATACCTCACTGTAGCTTAAATCTGTATTTCTCTGATGACTAACAATATTGACTTGTCAAAGTTTTTTTTTTCCACTTACTTAGAGGTTTGTCTTCTACATAGTACTTAAAGTACACTAACATTTTTGTCCTGCTAGAGTAAATGGTAAATAGTAACTTTTTCTATTTTTGTTTACCAGTATACCCACTGGCACCACAAATTTTTTTTTCTCAATATATAGTTGATGAATTAATGAGGAAGGCCAATATGAATTTCCTGCCAGCTTGATAGGCAAACTGCCTAACAATTATACTTGGGACCTACTTGGCGACTCTTTCTGAAAAGGGAACAGCATAAGCCTACTTGGTGTCTGGAACCAAGTAGGTTCCAGACCTGCCATAACTACAGTCACAGAAACCTGCTTGGCTCCCACAGGCAATCATAGGTCTTAGAAGGGTCAAGTGTGTCCTGGGCAGATATGTAGGAACAGGTTGAGTAAATGATTCAGACATAAGACATACTGTGGAAACTGAGTTAGGATGGCACCACCAACAAGAGTCAGGAGCAGAGGAGTAAGCTGTGCAGAGGTCAAAGCAAGAACAGATCAGCACCAAACCAGTAGCCGCCAGCTTAAGAGTGAAAGCAAACCAGGATACCAGAGAATTCATAGGGTTGAAGTCAGAAGCCAGAAGCAAACATGAAGCATCACAAAGAACTTAAAAGCAAGACAAGACTGCAGGTGAGGAAGCAATGAGACCCAAGGGGTCAGGGGTCTCTAAGAGGCTCTTGCCAAAAAGGACTTGCAATCAAGATGGCAGGCTGGCCTAGTCCAGGAAACCAACCACTTCCACCAGCACCACCCACCCCGCACACAAAGGACTGCAAAATAAAACAAAAAGTTCAGTCAATGTATTACTGACTTCAAAACAAGGGAAGCATTTTCTAGGTGGTCAAGATGATTAATGAGTCAGGACTGAAGCCATGTGACTCCTAGGAGTGGCCAAACCAGATCTGTATCTGAGGAACTAGAGTTTGAACACAAATTCCCTTCTGGAGAAGGGAGCTGAGGCTGCAGAAGCCTGAAGTCACAAGGGAGCAGGGATGACTTAGGGAGTGAAGACTCCAGTGTCCAGGAATTAGACTAGACACTGGTTCCTAATTGGTTGACATCATACATTCCTGGCAGGCTATGATATTACATCACCTAACAGGGCTGTCTCCATCTCTCCTTTTGCACACCATTTGTACAAGACCATTTAGCTGAAGCCCCCTAACAGATATTCCAAAGTCCCACAAGGAGAAACTCCAAGTTACTATGGATACTAGGTTGGCATGAAAGGCCAGTAAAATGGTCAAAAGGTGTAGGGTCCATAGCTAAGAACAGACCTCACCAAAGGTATAGCACATGGCTTTGTACTCACATAGCTCAAGTCTGGTCAGCATTGGAGTTCCCCTGGCCAGCCCACTCACTGAGCCTAACTCCAGGCTTTCACAGATTGTCATAAGTTCTTGACTATTAGCCAGACTTTCCTTGCTCTCCTGTTGACAGTACTGAGGTAGGAAATGTTGGTGGCTTCCCAGGGTAAAGAACCCTGATGGAGGTGGTCTTGCTGCCCTGCTTGCTTTTTCTAACTAGTACTTTGCTTGCCCTCCTGCCCTTGCTTAAATGTTGGGCTCCACACCTCTGGGAGAAGATGGGTTTTGGTTACTTTGCAATAAGGACTTGCAGCAATTCAAGTCACTTGTCCTGAGTCATCGTCCCAGCCTGTCTGTGCAGACTCAGGCCTGGCCTAGGGGCTCCCCCAGGGAGGGTGTGCAGGTGGCTCCTCCTATGTTTACACAACTACATCCAGCATTGTAGTTTTCCAAGCCCTAGACCTTCCACATGTGAGGTGCCACACAGGACCCAGGCTGTGGAGGCAGGTGGCTTGGTGGTGGCCCTCATTAGTGAATTTGTTTAACAAAGAAACACTAAGAAAGCTATGGAAAGAATCCCCATCCCCATGGAAAGTATAAGCTGAGGCAGTGATAACAAAAAGCGTTGGAGCTACTGCTCTTCTAGCACATGAAGGACTGCACATTCTGAGGGGGCAGAGAGGGCAGCCAACCGGGAACGCTGGCCTGGAGAAAGCGTGGGCTTTGCAGCCACACAGCATCCCTGCCCTTGGGCCAGCCACCCCAAGTTGCAGGAACAGCAGAGGTAACCCACTGGGCCAGCCCGGTCTGCAAACCCACGAAATGGGCGGCGGGGCCACCTGGAAGCACAAGTGGAATGGAGTTGATCAGAATCTGGATCTTTGTCAGTGGTGACGTGGCTGCCCTGATTCCCTCTTGGCCGTGCTGGGGGGAGGGCCGTGGGGAGCCCGGCTGTGGGTCGGCATCACTGGTCCATCTGGTCACCAAGACCCTGCAAAGAACAAGTAGGTAAATGGATGGCCAAGGCCCCCTGCAGGCCAGCCAGGACAAGGTGGGGTGAGAGAGAGGCTGCCACTTGCCAGCCCCCTCCTGTGGGGGTCTCGGGTATGGTACACAGCCCCTCTGCTAGGTGAGGCCCATATGGGTCATTTGAGGGTGGGATTTTGGCAAAATACTGTAATAATGATCTGAGATGTGCTGATTAAAAAGAGAATAGGTTTTAAAAGTGAATCCATTTGAAGAAAAGAGGCAAGTGAACAAGTGCAGGTGGCTGAGAAATGGGCAGAGGACAGGAATGGGCTGATGACCGCCCTAGTGAGGCCTCCCTGAGAAACCCTAGGGTCCCCAGCACTGGGTAAGGCACACGAACCTTCCTGCCACTGGCGGTCTGGGGCGGCCTACCTGCTCATAGTCCTCCACATATTTGTATTTCTTCTCCCGATAGTAGTACTTTTTCCTCATGCAGTAGAGGACGATGATGTCACATAGCACCGTCGCCTAAATTCAGCACAGGGGAGAAAAGGAACAGGCTGTGTCCATCCCATCACCAGGGCCCTTCCGGGGAGCAGGCCAGGCCCCGAGGGCCGGGGTTTGGGGATGGAGGCCCAGGGAGACGTGTAGAGGGTCGAGTCTAGAAAGTGTCACAGGGCGAACACCTCGCTGTGCTCCCCTCAGCCAGGGGGCCCCGAGTCACTCACCACCCCTAAGAGCGCCACGCCGGAGCCAATGTTGATCATGGTAGGGATGATGTCAAATTTCCCAGCCTGCAATGGCAGGAGAAAAGGAAAAAGAGCAGCAATGGCGGCGGCAGAAAGCAGATGGAGGAGGGTCCGGGGCCCCTGCCAGCCCAGAGGAGGGCCAGCGCGTCTGCGGCCAGGCTACCTTTCCAAACACGATGATGTCAAAGCGGATGCCGTAGGCCTTGGTGAGTGTGCGGTGCTCAGTGCCTGTCAGGTCCTTGTAGTACTTGGCAAATCTGGGGGCGGCACAGGGCAGAGTGAGCGGGGGCCGGCCTCCCCTCGGGTCCTGTGCCAGGGGTGCTGGCGCAGAGCTCCAAGGCTCGAGCAGAGTCGCACGGCTAAGCTCGGCCCTGCTTGCTGAGCAGATCACAGGAGCACCTGGGGGCCCTCTCTTTGCTGATGTGGGTGACAAAAGCGCAGGAAGGCTGGAGTGCTGGCAGCAGGGCCCAGGCAGAGCTGCCCCCTCACAGTCACCACCACCTGCACCTCTAATGTGGGAGCCGCTTGCTCTGAAAGTCCTTCCTGATACGGCCCAGCCACTTGCCTCCCAAAGAGACCCTAGCCACTAACAGAGAAAATGGCGGCCAGCTGCTTGGGGCGCCATGCCGGCCACAAGCCAGAGGCCACACTGGACAGAGAGCCGCAGATCCGCCCGAATGAACAGACAAGTGTGGTGGAGCTGCCCGCGGGAAGGGTCCCGACCCTGAACGAGGTGGGCGCTGCCACCTGCCTCCACATGAAGGACCCCGAGTGGAAGAGGCCAGAGACCAAGGCCATGCACGGAGGATTCTGCTCACAGGGCAGAGCAGAGACAGGTCCAAGGGACAGAAAGTGGGCTGGGGGCGGCTTAGGGCTGAGGGAGATGGGTTGGTGACAGCCAAGGGGCGGGGCCTGCAGTGACATAACAACAAGGGTCAGGTTTCATGTTCCAGTTGGGAGCTGGAAGGGCACAGAACCTTATCTCAGGAGCCATTGCCAAGGAAGGCTGGCCGGGAGGGGGCGGGAGAACCTCTAAGCCACTATACCACTAGGCCCATGTTTTTCGGGAGACCCATCAGAACCCCAACCCTCACATCCTGGTCTGTCTGGCTGATGCTTTCCAAGCCAAGGGCGGACCTGATGCTGGTGGAGGTGGGGGTGATTGGTTTCTCCTGAGTGGCCCATTGGCTTCTCTGTCCTTGGGGGTTCCAACCGGGGCGGGCTCTCCAAGAACTACTTAACAGCAGAGCTGGAGCCACCACTGAATTCCCTTCCTGGGAAAAAAATCCAAATACCTGCCCAGCTTCCCGCCTTGAGCCAGAGGGTGCCCAAGGACGGCAGAAATGGGACATTTCCGCGGCACCCACGAGCCTTTGATTCCCCTCAGCACCACCAGAGGGAGACAAGCAACCAACAGCACAGGGGCTCAGTGGTGCCCACAGGGCCTGTGAAAGTCACAGCGGTGGGCACAGGAAAATGTTGGTGGCCACAGATTTTGCGGCTTGAAGAAAGTGGCTCCCTCTCATCAGATTTCCACTGCAGTGGGTTGAATGTTGCCTCCATAATGCCTGATTGCCCCCAACCTGTGAGCGTGACCCTAGGGTGTTTGCATATGTGACTAAAGAAGGGAAGGACCAACTGGTATTGGGGAGAGAGGAATAGGGAAGAAAGCCAGGCAGAGACCGAGGGAGGGACTAGCAGGGTCCCCTAGGGTCCTCGGAACAGCAAAGAATGCACTCCAGGGGCCACCAGAGGCAGGAAGGGACCCTGAAAGGGCCTTGAACTTTGGGCTTCTGGCTCCAGAGCTGTGAGAATAGACAGGAAATGAAAAGTCAGCACGTTCAGCTGGGGAATATTGTCATTTCTGTGCAGGTTTCTGGGCACAGGCTCAGCCTTCGAGCACATAACTGGTCAGTGCACAGAGGCCAGGAGACTGGAGGGTCACAGGTGGGCCGAGTCCTAGCTGAGGCTGGTTCTTCTGGGCTCTGCACACGTCTCCACATGTTTGTTAAAAGATTTTATTTATTTTTGTGTAGAAGAGCTGGAGTGCATGCCAGAGGTGTGGGAGGATAAGAGGATTCACCAGGGACACAGTGGGGAGCAGAACAGGCAGACTGAAGTACACTGCTGAGGGGAGCAGTGAGCTAGACAGGAGTGTTCTGCTGCACCATGTGGGTCACCTCCCTAGCCGGGGATCGGAGTCAGGTTGTCGTGGTGATAGTGCTGAAACTTAACCCTTCGGCCATCAAGGAGGTCCCCTCTACATGTTTCTTGAGGCAAGAGGGCCAGCAGGGCTCTCAGGCCAGAAGCCATGGTGTGAGGTCTTTCTGGGAACAATGGGTGAAAGGAGGGCAAGAGGGGCCTCTGGTGGGCATGGATGCTTCCACACTTCAGGGACCTGTCACCCCCCCACACCTGAGACACCCAAGCTCACACTCACCTGAAGTTGTAGCCGGGAGACACGTTGTGGCTGAGGTCCCGGGTGTCCAGGCGGCGGAAGGAGTACTGGGGCAGGCAGAGGGAGGCTGCTCGGTCCAGGTTGCAGGCCCAGTTGATCTGGATGCCAATGATGCCTCCCTGCAGGTGGTGGGCACAGACAGCAAGCTCCCTCAGCGCCTGCTCTGGGAGGAGAGGCGTAGGCAGGCTGGCTCGAGAAGGGGCGCGCCTACCTCCACGGCCATGTCCTGGAAGCTATGGCCCGCAGACTCTACTATTTTGCCAAGGCGGAATATGGGGCAGAAGGGATCTGTAACCGCATCGTACATGCACGACTTGAGGTAGGTGGTGGTGACGTTGGGCAGGATATTTCTCCTAAAATCGGGAGAAAGAAGAGAATTGGAGTGAGGAGAACGTCAAAGAGCAGTCAGACCTGGGGGTATATAAACGGTGGGTCACCACTTACTTGCTGAAATTAAACTTGGGGTACCAGATGTTGTTCTTAACCAAAACAGTGAAGTTTTCTGCAGCCTTGAGGAATGCAGGCCTGAAAAAATAACGCCAGTGTCCATGAAAACACAAAGCTATGCATACTCACTTAGGCCCGTAATATTTTTCAAAAGCATCCACACAAGTGTCATTTTGTCCAGAAAAAGTGAAATGTTTCTAGCATTTTCTACTCTCCTCTGCATAAATACTAGGTCAAGAAGGAGACTGCACAAGACTTCTGTTTTCTTCTTTCCTCGGAAGCCAGGGCCTCTGGGCCAAGGCAGTGGGAATTGAAGACCCTGAGTTGGGATCTTGCTGGTGGCTTCCCTGGCTGCCTCTCAGCTGTGGGTTCAGGGGAAATAAGCAACAGATCTGGTTTTACAAGTCAAAGCAAAAGTGAATTCACCTCCTGGCTGGAGCCTGACCTCATCTCAAAAGTACACAAAAAGCACGTGTCTGCTGGCTCAGCTCCTGGCTGAGAGTCTGCGCTGAATCTGTCCCCAAGGAGACCTCACTTCTTTGGTGGCTCTCAGCAGGACAACCCAGCACTGTCAGCTGAGCCCTCTGTTGGGGAGGCCTCCCCTGATCCTGGCTGATTCTCTGAAGTTATAAATAACAGCAATAGTCTCCCACCCGGTGATGGCAGCGAGGCCAGTGACAAGGCCACACAGTGAGGGCAGGGAGCTTATAAGGGCTTCACCTGTACTTCTCTCGGGGCTTCAGATTCTCTTAGCCCTGTCCCTGGGGCTTGCAAGCTTTTGTCATTCCCTGTACCAGAACCTGGAAAGGCTCCACATCTATGAGTCTCATATTGAAGACTTTTAATATTAACTCATCTTAAAAAAATGAGGTGAAATTCACAGAGCATGTAATGAGCCATTTTAAAGTGAACAATTCAGTTGTGTCCACTATATTCAAAAGGCTGTACCACCATTACCTCTAGTTCCATCATAGTCTCATCAGTCCAAAAGGAAGCTATGTAACCAGTAAGCAGGTACTATCCTTCCCACTCTTCAGTTCTTGAAACCACTGATTTGGTTTCTGTTTCTATGAATTAGTACTGGATATGTCACATGAATGTAATATTCATCATACAATGTTGGACATCATGTACTATGTGGCCTTTTGTGTCTGCTTTTTACTCAGCATCATGTTTTCCAGATTCCTGCATATTGTTGCTTGGGTCAGTACTGTATTCCTTTTCATGGCTGATAATATTCTCCAATATGGAATTTTAGATATTAGATATACTGGATGTACCACAATCTTGTTTATCTGTCCCTCTGCCCATGGACATTTGAGTTAATTCCGCCTTTTTGGATCAACTCACTTTTTCATTGATGTCATTCTGAAATGAACTTTCTACCATGACCATAAAAGTGATCATTTGCCACACATTGGGGGTCATTGTACATATCACTACAATGAGATCGAAACAATAATACTACAAGTTGTGGTTAATGTTATTGTCTGCCCCATGTGTAAATCTGAGGCTTGTTGTTTGTGGAAAATGGAAATCAACAACTGATAAAAAGTTATTAAGGACACTTCAAACCAGGATTTCCCCCTTGGTATCAGTGAAGGGGTTGAATAGAATAGCACAGGGAGTGTCTTTCTCAGCATGTGACACAATGTCATTTCATATGTACTCCCTGAGATCATCTTACACTGGACTAGATCTAGAACAGCAGCAGCCAGTGAAAACATACTGTGAGACATAGCCATATCATAAAGTTTTCTCGTGGCCACATTGACAAGTGAAACATACTTTTTTCTAACTCAGCATACCTAAATATTACTTCAATGTTTAAACAGCGAAGTATTACTAATGAGCTAGTACATATACTTTCCCCCATGACCAGCCTTTGGAATCTGGAGTATATTTTGCACTGACAGCACAAATTGTTCAGTTCCCCACCACATTCTGAGTGATGGACAGCCACACATGGCCAGTGGATCCTTTTCTGGAGAGGACTGTTCTAGTATATTCTCTCAGCCATAAGACACTAGGCCTTCAGCCATCACGAAATCAATTTCTCAGCCTTTTCTTCTATCACTGTGCACCCAGCATGAGGTGGAGGCTCGGAGGTTGTCCTCTGAACCCCAGATCCAGCCATGGTGCCCACATGCTGTGGTTAGTGGAACAAGGAACTGCCTGGATTCTGTGTGTATGTACATGTGTGCACATGTACGTAAGGCACTGAGAACTGTTTCTGTCAGTTATACTTAACAATGGACAGTGTCCACCCAACCCTAGAAGTAAGTCCTGTACACTCATCATGAGGATGGACACTGAGGCCTCCCCTCCACTTGGTCAAGACCCATCACCCCAGGGCAGCCTGATCCCAGAGTACCCAGCACAGAGAACCAGTACATTTGGTCTTGACTGTCCCCTCCCCCTAAGCCTCCCTTCACAGGCCTAGAATCAGTTTTTGGGGCTCACCTTGGCACCTCTGAGTCATCCTCTATCGGGCACCAGGCTGCTACCTCGCATGTCTTCAGGGTTTTGTTGAACTGCACGCATCTGCCTGTCTGGACTCCTAAAGGACGAGGGGACCCATGGAACATGGGGGCGGGGGTATTAGATTTTCTACTTTGTGAGACAGAAATTCCCCTATCACAGCTGTCTAGGTCATTGATCTTGAGCTATCCCAACTTTGGGACTTAGAAATTTGTAGTTTGTAGACATTACAGCTGGAAGTGAATGGTTGGCCCAGTCTAGCCTCTTCTCTGCTTTGCAAGTTGCACGGGTTAGGGTGATGCCAAGCCCCAGCATAGCTCAAGATCTGGGGTGACTTCCAGGGTACAGAAGACAGAGATGAATGTTGAGAGGGACCCTAATTTGGGCATCTGGCTCACTCAGAGTCAATTGAAGGCACTGGGGAGTTTGAGGACTTTTTCATCCTGGAATTTCTCTATGGAAGGGCCCCACCAGGGTGGTGATCTGGTACGGGGGTGCTCTCCCCAGGCTGTGTCTACTGTGGGGTCACAGCTGTGCTCATACCGTTGCTGTGGGTACCTGCAAACCCAGCGGTACAGTTGGCATCTGATTCACACACAGTGGTCTTATCTGGAATCTGGGAATAGAAGAATGAGTGAAAAGGGCTCCAGCGGCCTGCGCCCCACATATCGGTGACAGGGGCGGACAGGGCGCGCCTACCTCAGGACAGAGGCCCTGGGTCTGGTTCATGGTGATGATCATGTTGGTCATGATGAAGAGGGAGTTTTTCTCCTGCAGACGAGGCAGAGAGGAGAGAGTGAGCTGCTGTGTTACCGTCAGAGGCATGGAGAGCTGGGCATTCACCTGAGAGGTCACTACCTTTCACTTCTCCCACACGCCATGCAGAAAACAATTAAAAAAAACTAATCTGATGGTCTCCTGTTCTCTCTTGTGAGAGTCCATATCCTCATTGAGAACAAGGACTCACACAAATACTTGTATACATGTGTTCACAGCAGCATTCTCCACAACAAACTGGATATGGACACAACCCAAGGACCCACTGCTCAATGAATGAATACACGAAATGTGGTCCATCCACACAATGGAATATGATGTAGCCATAAAACAGGAACGAGGGCCTCCCCTGGTGGCGCAGCGGTTGAGCGCTGGGTTGCGAAGCTGCAGTGCTGGTTCCATCCCCAGCCGCTGGTGGCGAGGGTCCCACATGGCCATGGCGCAGACCTCTCCTGCCACGCCCACTGCTCCCCTCAGCAGTGTACTTCAGTCCTTCTGCCTGTTCTGCTCCCCGCTCTGGCTCTGGTGAATTCTCTCACCCTCCCGCGCTTCTGACTATAACCAGTGCTTGTATAAATAAATAAATAAATCTTTAAAAAAAACAAAACAAAACGGGAACAAAGCACTGAATATGCTCCATCACTGATGAAGCTCGAGAACATGCTGCTGGGTGAGGGAGCCAGCCATACAGAGGCCGCCCGAGTGTGAGCCCAGGGATGTGGAATGCCCAGAAGGGCAAGCCCACAGGGACAGAAAGCAGGTTAGTGGTTGCCAGGAAGTGAGGCAGAAAGGGAGTTAGTGCTAAAAATGGCCTCGCAAAATAAGGAGTGAAAGACAGATCCCCAGAAGATTTTAGATGGATCTCCCCATCACTGGCATTTTCAAATAGGGTGCTTGAAGTTTTCTTTCAACAGGTCACACTTCTAGGAAGAGTGGGGTCATTGCATGGAACCATCTGGAGGATCAGGATCACCCAAGGACTAGAGTCCCTATACACCCTTGGTCTTGACAGGTGGCAGGAGCTGTGGGGATAGCTACCATTCCAGAGTAGGCCCTGAGCAAACCCCGAGCCACAAGGATAGGGCACGATGCTGGAGGCTCTCTCCCAGCATCCGCCAGCTTCCCAGGTCTGTGTGAACAAACATGCTGTATTTACAGAGGCCTCTCTTGCCACGTTCCTGGGTTGGACTTGAGCAATTCAGTGTTGTCTACTTCCTGTTTCCTTTTTCTTATCTATTGTAAGTTTGGGGTCATATCAGGCTGGAGGCGAGCCACGTAGGTGCAGGGCCAACCGATGTTTGTGTCCCATATTTGGGGAAACTGAGGGATTTTGTGTAAGCTCATGAAGAGGATGGTATGGACTGTAAGCCCCCAGCCCAGCCCCTCAATGGAAGGCAGAATTGTGTGTGCCTCTGTACAAAAGGAGGGGCCCTGTCCCCCTCCTTGGTTACAGGAAACATACTATTATCATCTTCCCAGAACTGACCTTCAGAGGAAGAGGGGTCTCTCTGTTGACATGCCAATAGGACCACCCACTTCCAGCCACAAACAGCCCCCCTTCCAGTTGACCTGTATAGCTCATCACCTCTCTGGGCATCCCATAAGGCCCTTCTTTTGAGAAGACAGGGGGGACATGAACACACAGAGGAAAGAGTCTCTGATGTCCTTGCTTCACTCACAAAGCTCTGAGCCAAGAGCAGGCAGCTTATCTGCCCTTGGCCACCCTGTCACCCCAGCACAAAAGCTACCTGGAGGGATATTCTGCGGCTTGCCTGTGTGGATCACAGTGGTTGCCATGGCTCCAGAGAGTCAATATTTAACTGGGAGGTTGTGGATGAACATATGGAGCTTGAGATGCTGCACTGAGCAATTCTTCCCTTCCCTGATGGCGTGCTGTGTGGGTATGTCGCTTTCTCCTTGGTTGGCTTTTGGCCTCTAATTGTTGTTGACATTTTCACATTATCTGAAAAGATTTGCCTTGTGGATTTACAAAAATAGAGCAAATAACAAAATGTGGAAGTGTGAAATTCCCACTGGATTCTTTCCCTGGATTTGAGAATTGTGTTTTCACCATTCTGCTTGAGATGAAGATGTCCACATGGAAAACTCCCTGTGGTTAAACCAGCAGATTTTAGGGTTGAGGAAACATAGGTGATTAAATATTATCTGTTAGACGGTAAGCCACAAAAGGACCCATGCGCCTGGTTCTTGGCTAAAGCCATTAGTCCAGGCACTGCCGTTAGAATTGGATGCTAGTTAACCAGGTGTGCAGTCGGCACGGGCAAGGAGCTCACCATCCTCGGTGCTGGACAGAAGTCGTGGTGGGAGACGTACCTGAGCTGGAATCACATAATCGGCCACATCCCAGATCCGGAATCCCAGGGTAGAAGTGTTGGTGACAGCCACGCCCTTGGCTTTGGTAGTAACTGAGCTGACCACAGAGTCCGTTTCCTGGTAGCCTTTCTCCCACACAAACACCCACCTACAACATAAAACAGGCTGCTTACATTTCCTCTGGGATTCAGTGCCTCTGAATGGAGGCTGGGGAGCCTCTGAAGCCAGGGGCTGATAGGACCGTGTTTACTATTCTAATTATGTGACTTTGCGAAAGCTGCTTCATGCTCAGGGCTCCATTTCCATGGAAAAACAGAGATAATAGCACATAAACCGCAGTGTGTTGTGTAGGAAATACAAGAGATGATGCCAGGAAAGCAGTGATTAGCATAAGGGAAATGTTCAACAAATACCATCATCAGTTTTAGATATTTGAGCACTTTCAATGCATTATGACCTGCAGAATCACCGAGAGATAATAAAAGTTATCTCTGCAGTGCTTATACATGGAAAGACTGATCTAAGCTCTTAGTAGTAAATAATTTAATCCATACCACTCTGTAAGGCAGTTGTTAGTCTCCATTTTACAGAGCAGGAAACAGAGACACAGAGAGGTGAAGTCACTTGCCCAAGATCACACAGCTCATGAGTGGAGACTCAGGACTTGAACTCAGGCCATTTCCCCTCAGCCTCTGTGCTTGCCCTCTAGTCTACAATCTGTCTAGAAAGGAGAATCCCTGCGTTCAAGTGGCTTTTTAGGGCAGTTTCTTATCTTTCTCCAGGAATTCAGGTCACTTGTATGTTTCTCTGTGAAGTGGGGACCTTCCTGCCAGTCTGAATAATGAAAAATCTAAAGGCATTAGGGCACAGTGGTGAGGACATGGCGCCCAGACTGGAACCCAAGGAACCCATGGAGACATGTCCATGTCTCATCTCCACCACGCACTGAGTAGTAGAAGCTCTGTCAAGTTGCTGACCTTCTCTGTGCCTCAGTTCCTTCCAGGACTTCACAGGATTGTGGTGAGGTTAAGTGAGTTAACACATGTCAAATGCTGAGAACAATGTTTGAAGTCGCCATCAGTAGGCTGAAATTGTCCATGATGGGGAGTATTTATACTCTGGAAATTGACCAGCAGGATAAATCAGTAACTATTACTGTTCTTTCTTCTAGAATCAAGAAATATTGGCATCCCTGTCACCGCCTCATAAGCCCTAGATGTCAAGACTTCAGAATTTCACTGGTTTTGGTTACTTATGGGTGGGCTCATCTGGCCTGAGCAGTCTCCAAGTTCACTGCCCATCTTAGGAAGCAACTGGGTTTTCCCTAAAAAGTCCTGTGCATTTAGAGTTTTAGGAATTTAGCTGTGCTGTAGGCTTCCATCTAATTCTGGTGGAGGCACAGGAGCTTAGGGCAGGAATGTTCTTTTAGAAACTCATTTCCATGATCCAATTCATCTTAGTGAAATGTGATCTCTTTTAGCATGGTGACCCACATCACTCCTTCCTCAAAAAGAGACTCAACATGTGATTCTCAGTTATTGAATTCTATTATCAGTCACATGAAAATGGTCTCAACGTTCAAGTATCACGTAACTGGAGGGGGGGGGGTTGGTGTTACGGGTGGTACTTAATGAGACTTTGTGAGTACACTCCTGGAAAGCCATTTCAGTCACTATGGTCAGTACCTACTGCTGCTGGGTTGACAGGTGTTAGAAACCAAACCTGTGAGTTCATGCAAATTCCCTTGGGCAATGTTAAGTGATTCCAAACCCCATGCCTGGATCTCATTTGAGAGGTGCATGAAGAGCTCAGTTTGGGAAACACTTGGTCCCCAAGCTTTGTTGCACACCTGAGTTACTTTGGGAAGATGATCAAACTCTACTAGTAATTTAGAAGGTCTGAGCAACAAGGGAAGACAGCAACTGGTATTTTTGAAAGATTCTCAAATTATTTTACTGTGTACTTTGGGGACCACACCATGACAGATTATCTCTGTCACCTCAGTCACTGTAGACACCACTTCCCGTGAGGACCCTTGAAAGTGGAACCAGTTGGCATGGTAATTTTCCCATCTTCTCTCAAGTTTTACTTAAAATTAAAGGGTGTGTTTAGTTAAAATGAAGCACTTGGTGATGGTTGAAGGTGGCAGGGCACACAGAAGCCTAAGAGGGCATCATGAGGAATATGAGGCCAAGTTTGGCTCCTATACAAACCCCCTCCCCCCCATAAAGATGTGAACTTCAAATGGGTTTATGACCCTGTGACCTCTCTACTCTGTTGGGTTACCACATGGTGCTAAGGGACAGCAACAGAAGGATGCCAGCGTCTAAGAGACACCAAGCAGAAACCCCAAACCTCGGTTTCCGTGAGCCAATCATAATGGCAAGTGAAGAGCAAAGACTGAGATATTTAGGGTAAAGCTCATCCCCCAATCCCCCAATTCAAAAGGCATTACAGAGCAATTCGGAAGGACAAGAAGCAGGACAGGCGAGGAGGCAGGGCTAGTTTTGACTTAAAACGGGTCAAAGCAGGCTGTGCCCCGGGGGCCTAGAGCGCAGCGAGGGGCGTGTCACCGCCTTACTGCCGCCTGGAAGGTGCCTGCAAGCTCACCTGTGACCCAGGTGGGTCACCTGCCTCACGCCGCGGTCCCCTCACCAGAGTGGAGGGCTCCCTGGGGCTGACCGTTGCCTTAGGCCAAAACGGGCAGGAGTTACGCCGGCCCCTGACCCGCGTGGGGTCACCCTCGGCGCCGGGACCCCAGGGGACGGCGCTGGCCGCGCTCACCCGATGACGTAGGCCAGGATGAGCAGCTGCACCGCGCGGTTCATCAGCCCCACTTTCCGGCTGCGGATGAGCACGATGCGCGGCGTGTCGTACTCGAACAGGAAGGCGCTCAGCGCCGCCCCGCAGCCCGCCATGGCCGCGCCGGCCTCCGCTGCCAACGCCTGCTGCGCGCACTGGGCCGCCCGGCTCCCTGGAGCCCCGGGGCCCCGCCCCAAGCCCACCCCCTGGCCCCGCCCGAGTCCTGAGCCCCGCCCCGTGGCCCCAGAGCCCCGCCCCTCCGCGAAGCCCCGCCCAATCCCGAAACCCCGCCCCCGCCCAAGCTCCGCCCGCCCGCGCGCCCGAGGTCTGCGCGGGCCGGGAAGGGGGCGTGCGGCCTGCCGGCTCCGTCAGGCGGAGTCGTGACCGCCCCTTCGGGTACGCGGCAGCAACTTGGGCCCTGGGCAGAAAAGCCATCTTCCCGACGCGGGCGGGGGGCGGGGGGCGGGGACCCTTTCGGGGGGGGGGGCGAGGTTGGGAGGCGGAGCCACCTCCTCAAGGAGGGTGTGTTCTGAGGAAAGGGGGCGCCGCCCCTGAGGGACCGCGTGACTCCCGTCTGGAGGGCAGCGGAGGCGGCCTGGCCCCCCTCAGAGGGACCAGAGAGAGGCGTGCGAGTGGCCCCCTCAGCGGGAGCACGGCCCAGGAGCGCCCCCCTCAGGTGGGCGAGTGAGCCTTCGGGGACCCGGGTCTCCCCAGCAGAGAGGCCCTCCTGGGAATGAGCTGCCGGCTCAGGGAGGCCCAGGTCCCCTGGAGGGTCTCGGGGTCGCACTGACGGGGTCTCCTCAGAGCAGCCCCTCTGGAGTGGACACTTGTGCAGGCTCTGAGGGTACTGGCGGGGTGGACACCCGCCGCTTCTGTTTCTGCCACAAAAACTGAACTGTCCGGTCACCGGGGAGCCCCGGGCTGAAGCCTCACTCCCTCCACACCCCCTTGGAGCTGCGCAGGCCTCAGCCCTGCTCTGCTCGCTGGGTCGCTCCGTGGCAGGTTGGGGCGGCCGCAGCCAGGACCGGAGAGGGGCTTGTGTCCATCCCTTCCGCTGAGACCGTTTTTATCGCACCTTTAGGGAGCACTGGAGAGAGGAGGGAAAGTGGAGGGAACACCCAGTTCCACGAGTTGAACATAATTTTCCACCTTTATTCGCTCTCTTCAGGTATGTTTTCCTCGATATGTTTTATGTCTTATTCATTTATTCAACAAGTGTTAAGCACCCACACCTGCCAGGCACTGTCCACTGGACAGAACAGACCGAAGCATTTGCCTTGCAGCGTGGACATGCTGGCAGGTCATCGTGTGTACTGTTTTAAATTGTCATCATAGGCGGAGTGGAGCTTTTTGTTTCCTGATTCTCACTTCTCTGGTGGTCCTGCAGAGGATTATAATGGTCATTTTTAATCTGTAGACTACTTCTTCCAGGGAATCTGCCATCATTTCCCTCACTGCTCTCATCTGGGACCTTGTGGTATGTGGATCCTGGGCGTAATCTCTTGATACGTAATCTCTGATACGAGGATGAAATTCTTAAACCATATCACTTTGTTTTTCCAAATAGAAAAAGGTGAACGATAAGAAAATGAGCAGAAAACAGATAGCCTCTGCCTCCAGAGTGGGAGTTGCTGAGTTAGAATAAGGTGCTACCTGCCTCAGTCCAAAATGGCCGTAGGAA